GCCCCAAACACACATGCCTTTCACAAGTTTCTCTGCGGATTCGGGCTTCTCTCAGCAAGTGCATTCCAACGCCATCTTCAAAAAAAAACAAAAACAAATCCTGGGACGTTTTTTGGCTCGGCTGGTTTTGCCGGACGGACCCCCCCTCCTCCGTCTGGCCCGGTCCGTCTGGGCCGGGCGTCGGCCTAACCCAGGTTCACAGTTGAATCATTCTACAAAGAGCTTTACCCCTAGAACAGTCCTTCACGCTAGAGAAAAATCCAGCAAACACCTAGATAAAACTATATCACACACCAAGGCAGAAGAACTTGACCAACCAATCACAAATGAAGAAATTAAAAAAGCATTAGATTCCATGAAGTCAGAAAAAAACACTAGGCATAGATGGCCTCTCAAAGAGAGTTTTGGCATAGGAGAGGAATATTGCCATTTCATAAGACCGGCATGGACTAACGAAAGCCTAGGAGCAGCACTTAGCACCGATATAGTCACACTTCTCTACAAAAACAGCGACCCGGCAGACATTAGGAATTATAGGCCAATTACACTACTAACAGTAGCATACAAGATTTTGGAAAAACTTCTAGCCAACAGAATTCGGAAGATCACCAAAAACTGCTTTCATATAGACCAGACAGGTTTCATCCCAGGCCAGTTCATTCTAGACAACGTCATATCACTAGCAGAATCACTGAGATACAACCAGAGATACAACCAAGATAACCAAATGAATGCAGCAATCCTTTTCTTTGACTTTGAAAAAGCTTATGATCAAGTCAATTGGGACTTCCTACAACAGTGCATGAAAACAATGGGAGTAGGTCCTAACTTCAGAAAATGGGTAAGAGTCCTCTACAATGATGCAATGGGGGCAGTACAGATCAATGATCACATATCTAACAAATATAAAATGTCTCGGTCTATCAGACAAGGCGATCCCCTGGCGGCACCAATCTTCCTTTTCATCATGGAAGCCATCACCTCCTTCTTAAGGAAAGACCCATCCATCCACAGACTCATCGAACAGATAGAACAAAACCCACATAAGCACCATATCCCCCCCACAATCTTGTTTGCAGATGACCTAATCGTCCTCATAAGAGCTTCATCCTCTTCATTTGAAGCACTTACCAGAGCAATGTGTGCATCCCAAATAGCCTCAGAAATGCGCATCAATTGGAGCAAGATAGTAGGCTGGTGGCTAACAGGACTCGAACCACCCCGAAACACACCAGAAGGCTTGACATGGCGAACCCCAGTGACCCACTCAGAATGCTAGGAATACAGATGTCAATACATGGTGCTGCAGCAGAAATGGCACCCAGCCTACTAGCTAAAACGACCAGCGAACTTAATGACTGGGGGAAGATCCACACCCCCTTGCATGGCAGAGCGCTAGTCCTAAACGCCTCCATATATTCGATGATGTGGTACGTCGCAGCCTTGTGGACCCCAAATCAAACAGCCCTAAAGGACGTCCAAAAGAAAGCAACAGCTTACCTCTGGACCGGAGACGCATCAAGATAGAACTTCATCACAAAGGTGGCTTGGCAATATGCAACAAGAAGTCCTAGACCCGACCAACCAAATAAAAGCTCTCCAAACCAAATGGATTATAAAGTTATTAATGAATCTTAAACTACCTTGGAGAGCCCTGGCCCTAGAAGGTTTGCAACAACTATCGAGCTTCAGCACCCCAGAGAACATGGAAGGTACCTTCTGGATCTTGAGCAAATCGTGGACCACAAAGAACAAATCCCAAAACAAACAAAGACTGAACTTCTGGAAGAGACTACTGAAGGCGTGGAGAGAGATCTTTCCGTTCAAGAGCCTATAATGGTTAATCCTATACCTAGCAATCCCACTTAATCAATTGTTGAATATTAGAAGAAGAAAAGAAGGTAGAAACCCCTTACATGAACTATGTGCCAACTGCACAGAAGGTTAAATAGAGAATCTGTTCCATTGCTTCTTCCATTGCCCCAAAATCAAACCCATATGGAATATGATTTCACAGATATGGTTCTCAATAACCAACATGACTTTCACATCAAACACTTCCCTTCTCCTATTAGGCTTCACAACACCCGACGACTAGCCACCTTTGCAAATCAACCTATTCCAAATCCTGCGTAAGCCAGCACTATGGTCCATATGGAGAAAAAGATGTCAAGAAACGGTAGAAAAACAACCAATGCACGTGCAGGAAGCCTGGAATATCCTCATGTTACAGGTAGAAACAAAATACTGGGTCCTATGGCGCAAAGTCAAAAGGAAAATGAAGGCGAACGAACCCAAAGCCAAAGATCTCTAAACCAAATTTGAGGATGACTACCTCGCCAAGGATAAAATAGCAATCGTCAAAGGTCAGAGCCTAATATTCACAATATGGAACGACATAACGCAAAACAATAGTCCAGACTTAAGACCAGCCATTAGCACACCAGACTCATTGAGCATCCAGATCAATTCCATCTAAACTACCACCAGTGTCCATACCAAAGGCAGACAACGAGCACAAACGAATCCCGCTCTCCACCACCTAGACTAAACATCCCCACCACTACGACTCAGCCACCAATGGCAACACAGTAGAGTACTAGAGACCATTACTAACAGACTGCACGCCGAACAGCAAACCCACACAGGCCTCATCTCCAACATAAGGAATCACACAACCCTAAACCTCCCTAAAACCTTCATACCTTTCATTCCCCGACCGCACGCAACTACCTATCACCTCCACACAAACCACCCCGATCTCAACCCATACCCCCCCAGCCACGTCACCGCACAACCGAACACATCAACCACCCCAACCCACAACCTAGACTTACAAACACCCCACACAGTCTCTGCTCAAACCAGCAAAAACAACACCAGTCCCACTCCACAAATATTTCCCAAAACGAATCTGTTAGCTAGTTAACGCAAGAATAACGTAGGATACGGGATACAGAGTATTACAGACCATAAAAAAATATGTCAAGTAAAGATTAGCTGGCCAGTTAAATTAGCAAGGGTTTGGGTTTTAGAGCCAGGTAGATCTTGTTGCAAGGATAATGAGCGATAGCGAACTTCAGAAACCAAGCAACATCATACACACGAGACCAGACAGTTGTGACCTCGAACCAAAAGCAGAATTGCAACACGAGTTCCACCAAATAAGAGCACAGCAAAAGCTCATAAGTGACAATGTTGGAATAGTCTCATCATCATCAACGAAGAACCAATGTCGACATCCTATCTGGCGCTCTGCGCCCAAACTACAAATGGCAGATCCTATCTAGCCTATCTACAATGCCGCTGGTGACGTCAACAGCTCCCCGAAGTACGAGCAGATCTCGGTCAATGCCGTTCGCCTCAAGCACCAGGTATGTCTCTCGTATCACTCACAACCTCGATCCCCCACTCACAGATGCCACGTGCACCCAAGGACCACCATGCGCCCCATCCAGCTATGCAGCACAGCTCAGCTATAGCTGCCTGCCTCTCCCTGCTCGCCCGTGAGCGCGTGAGCGTGGCCAGCGTTTAGTGCAGCAGCGCTTGCGCAGCATGCAGCCAGTGCCCGAATGCCGAATGCAGGGGCAGGGCCTTTCCTAAATGGAAGTGCCCTGCCAGCTGCGTGCGGCCAGGCTGTGCTGGGCCTCGGCCCAGAAGCTTCCGGTAGGACCCGAGAGGCTGAGGCCCGGTCCTAACGAATCAGGGCCAGGGCCTGTGACGGTTGCTTGTGCCCAACTGCCCGCAGCCTGGGTTCGGCCCATGTTGTGTATCTGGCCCAGGGCCTGCCTCAGTTGCATACGAAAAAGGCAGCCAGGGCCTGGGCGCTCTCAACCAACTGGCGCTGCGCAACTGCCTGAATTTTCCCCAGTTGCGTGGTAGCCTGAAAATAGGCCTTGCGGCCTTGGTCGGGCCTGCCTTTACTTAGGGCGGCCGACTTGCTGCTTGCAGGGTCAAAAGGGGCTCATCGGGACCTTATGCCTCGCATTGTAGATGAGGAGGGATAATAAAGAGAAGATAGAACTTATTCTCATCCGAAGGCTTTAGTCCTGAGAAGAATTTAGGGCCTATCAAAACATATTGAGGAGGCTCAAATCTACAGTTCCCGTGCTCAATGAGAATCCGGCAGTCAGAGAACTGAGAGGAACAGCTTAGATGAGGCCTCCCTGAAGCAAGCCTACAGGGTCCACATTTCTGAGTGCCTTACCATGTCTTCGACTCAACATGAAAGAAAACAAGCTAAGTTAGGTAGGGGTGAGGAGTGGTACATCCTTCCAGAGAGAAGTAATCAATGTCGTCCCTCGGGCTTTCCTACCTTAAAGGGGAAGAGCGTGTGTGTGTCCTATGTGTACTTCCTTTTGACTTGCCAGTGGAATAGGAACCGGACTGATGCTACCCAGAATGGAAAAGGAGCCAGAACCTTAAGGTTCTGTTTTTTGGGAAAAACAACGACAACAACAACAACAACAACTTTTGGATGAGGGTCACATCAGAATTCTTCACGGAAGTGAAGGAAAATAACCGAATCGCACTAAGGCACCCCCCTTTAACCCCCTTCAGCCCATTTAACATCAATTTATACCCCCCTTTCCCCACCTTGACAGCCAACACTCAAAAAAAGAAAAGAGCCCAGATTTGGGCTCCTCTTGAAGAGCACAGAAAACTCCCACCGCACTCCCCCCCCCCCCAAAAAAAAAAAAAAAAAAGTTTCCCCATGCCCCTGTATCCCGGGCGTCACGCTTGGGTGACCAGCCAGTCATGAAAATCTTCCTAACTTTCGAGAAGAAAGCCAATCAAACAACAAGGCAATAATGCCACTATCATTCCAACGTATTCAGCCATCAAATAGCACTTCACAGTCTTGAGCGACTTGCAATCTTTCTATTTTCCCAGGTTATCTACAGTGCTACCCACTCGGGCCTGCATGAACACTCCAAAAAGATTCCTCCACCTTTCTCCACAGACACACACGCACACACGCACACGCACACACGCACACACACACACACACACACACACACGCACACACACACACACACAATCACACACAGAGATGGGACGGGCAGACGGAACGACAGACGGACAAACTGAAGGAAGGATGGACGAAAGGAAGAACGAGCGGACGGATGGACGGACCCACCAACGGACAGAATGATGGACGGATGGACGGACAGACCGACGGATGGGCGGACCGATGTATGGACTGACAGAAGGACAAACCGACATACTGACGAAACGACGGACTGATATACGGAGCGGCAGACAAACCAACAGACACACCGACAGACTGACCACGGATGCAGGGACTGACTGACTGACGGAGGGATCAATGGACAGACCGATGGATGGACCGACCGGCAGACCGACAGCCTGAATGGACAGATGCACAGACAGCAACAGAGGGGTGGACGGAGGGAGGGAGGGAGGCAGAAGGCTTATGCCAGTCATCTGGACTGCATATGAGACTCGAATTTCGAGCAATTTTCGAAGTGTTCTCTTATTGTGTCATTGTGCATCTCGCATGTAGGAATGCTGTGAAGCCTTTCGTGACCGCGCATGAGTACGTGATGTTGTGAAGCAGTGTGTGAATTGTGGGATCATTGCAAATCGTTTAGTTTACTTTTAGGGTTTTCTTCTTGGCTTTCCTGGAACCGGCTGGGAACGGCTGGGACCTTGCCCATCTCGGTATTCCAGGCAGTCAGTGGCAGCCAAGGCCCCCAGAAAGGTATACTGGTTAGTGTCAACTATATCAAAGCCATTGGGATTTAAATTTTAATCTCACAGATTATGGCTTCAATACCTTGACGCAGTACGCCCCAGAAAGGACACCATGGTCTAAAGAAGTGCAGCAACCCGATTGATGTTTGGTGGAGAAGGTTGGGAAGAGAAATCAAACATCCTGGGGAGGAAGTCAAGTCGAGCCAACCAAATCATGTGAGACACGAAGAAATGTAAAAAATGGAATGCACACGACACAGGGGCAGCAAAGTCCAGGTGCGCACGCAAAACTTACAGGGTTCACAACGTTAATCCATTCTCCACTCTCAGAGTCGATGAAGTTCCCTCCAATCAGGAGCTTCACTTTGTTCTGCAATTTGGTCTCGTTTGCACACACACCATAGCCAAGGAGCCCATCGTCATCCTGCCTATCCCAACCGTGATCAATTGCGGCCGTCTCCCAACGTATAATAAATCCACCACAGCACACCACAACACAAAAAACTGCAGACTTTCCGTTTTATAGAACAGAAAACTAGAAAGTTTGAAACCCAACCCAACACAACCAGCATCATGGCACTTCATTTCACAGAGCAAACCACATCACATGACATGTACACACTGACTCGGGAACTGAATTCCACAAGAAGTACAAGCTCTTCAGTTCCAATGCCTACACTTCCTTCCCTCCTCCCACCCTTTTTTCCCCCAATGTTCTCATTTTTTTTTTGTCTCCTCGCTCGATCCGTGCCGCTTGAGATAGGCCCTGATCTACCCACAACCTTTACTGCATTACTCGTTACTGACACAAAATATTATCGCTTCTCAGTTACTCCACTGTTGCTGAGGAGTCATTTGCCTCCCAAGAAATTCTCATATTCTAACTCACGTCCCCTTCGTTAGGCTATGTATTCCTATCCAACATCCAGCGCAGGGGTTGTTTGGGGGTCCAGGCATCTATAGCACAAAAAGCATGCCCATTTACGTGCACATTCTCACTAGGCACCGCATGCTCATCCTTCCCAGTCATTCATAGCAAAAGCATGCCCCTGTATACATACTCTACTACATGGTCCACCTTTCCAGTATGAACTTATGCTAGCGGCGGTCGAATCCCATACTTCGGCCATGCGGATCTCCTTCAGTGTCACTTCTTGGTGTTGCTCCCTCCCCGGTCCACTCCGTCGTGTTCTTTGTCTCGTTGGTCGTATCGCCTCTTATCAGCTTGATTGCGTCGATGCAGATGGGTGTTACAGGCCAGGACATTGTAGTGCATAGTGGTAGGATGATGAGTGCAGATCCCGTGCTCAGCTTCGATAGAGCCACAAGGGGGATGGGCTACGCAGTGGTAGCAACGCAGGACGTGACGACGGTGATGAGGGTGCCTAAAAGTATGTGCGCTCACTTAGATGAACATCTCTTACTAAAGTATGTGCGCTCACTTAGATGCATCTCGCTTACTTACTGCCATTTTGCCAAACAAATTAAAAGCCGACTGATTTCACTTGCCTATTTCCCACATCATTCCATTCCTTTCCTGTCAGAGTGCCATCTCCCTCCAAAAGCTTATCAGTTCCCCACGTATACGAAATGTGAGGCCAGTTGAGTTCGCAAAACCACACCCCAAACTTATTGTCCTCATCTTCTTCAAATGAAGCACTTCCTTCCTTAATTATGACAAGAGGGGGTGTGATTGACATTCGAGGGATATATGTTGGTTTTTGGCCTCAATCACATGCAACACGCTGGAGCCCGGGCCTGATGAAAGCCAATCGTATTCGGGCATCCTAAAGAAGCCAAGCACATGAATCCACACACACACACACACACACACACACACACACACACACACACACACACCCCTCTGACCTCTCCAACCTTATTTCTTATAGCGGCCACAGCTTGTCACACCCCAATAAGTCCACTTTCATTGACACAATTTGACAGTGAAATTCGCACTCCAGTCCACCCTATCAGTCAGAATGGTTGTCCAGAGGTTCGGTATAGGTCCATGGAGCGCGCAAATTCTTTGAGACATTCATTACAATTGGAGTTAGTCTTTTGGTATTCTGTGGGGGAGTTGCATGAGGTGAGGACCCTGCGGGCACACACACACACACACAGATGCATATACACACATGTATACACGCACACACACACACATGCATGCACGTACACAGAGACCCATTCGCAGAAACACACGCGTGCATGCACATCATACACACACACATACTCGTGCGCACTGTTGAGCGCATCGATCCCGCGTGGGGACCCTCTCGGCTGCAAATTCTGTGTGGGAATTGCATGAGGTGACGACCGTGCAAGCATCCAGGAAAAGTTGAAAGGACAGCCCACCACTGTAGTCGGGACTTTGACTTCATCCACAAGAGATTTTGCCATGGGTGCTGAGCCAGCCCAAAAGCGTCTTTTTGCGGCTGGCTCTGAAACTGCTGATCGGTGTCTGGCTATCATGTTGGCAATTTGTGCGCTGTATATTCCACTTGTCAACTTGCCATTTGCATTGACCAAGCGACTCCCCACCTGCACAAGGTGAGAGGGAAACTTGTTAGTCATGGAGGAGGAGGGTGCAGCGAGTAGAGCTCAAGTTACTCAGGATTTTTGTCAGGGCATCACAAAGCAGAAAATAGATCCTTCGGCCATTGCATTCAACAACAGCATCTCAACGAAATAGAGTTCGGGCCCACTGACATCAAAATTTGGGGTAGAAACAGCGGGCCTGGATAAGGAGGCAAACCATTAGCAGGAGAATGTTGAAACCTCCTTCCATCACAGCGACTGCAATAGACCATCATCCCAGGAGAACAACATACTTTGCCATACATGTACTGCCAACGCCCATCCTTAACTTCACCACTGATCCATGTAAGGATAAAGCTCAGACCAAGAAGACACGGACAAGAGTCTGGATTTCCCCTCCACTTGCTCACTGCACCCCAACACAATCTTATTCAGACATGCACTCGCAGTCTCCAATCCCACCTGAAAATAGAGCTTAAGACAGCCTCTACTATGCTCTGTCTATCTCCATAACCAAACACTGACTCATTTCCTAGCCGCCTCCTTGCTCACCATGTCCTCAACTTCAGGTGTAAAACCTTACTACTCTTCTTGATGCTTCCAACGCCAAGTGCCACCCCAACTACGCCACTACAGCTTATGCAGACGCTCCCAGGTGATGATGGAGCCTTCCATCGCAGACATAACATGACACAAAGTAGCCCAAGTGCCTTCAGCGCCTTTGCTGACTTGGCAGGTATGACTACCACTGCTTCAAGGCAGCTTGCCCTGATTAAACCCACCCATCACAAAGGAGTGAATCAACCTCAGGCTAGGGGTACCCGGCCGTAGGAAATAAATGCGTTGGCACACTAGCAAGGAAGTGTGCTGCTTGGTCAGGAGTAAATCACAGTAGCTTCTATTGCTTAAAAAGGTGATTTATTAGCGTCATAAAGTCGAGTAATAAAGGGCAAACCAGGAGTAAAATGATGTTCATCCAAGCAATTTACTGAAATTTGCATGGGTCCTGGGGACCATCTCACGCAGATGTGTACATGTCATGCATCATCTTCACACACAGCGATCAATAATATCAACCATAGACAAAGGTAGAGAAGARGAGGACCGAGTTTCACAGCTTATATTATCAGAAATATGAATACAAAGTGTTTCAAAGTTCCCCTGAGTCCAGCGCTCATCAGCGCAACCCCAATCTCTTGTCAGTTCATCAATATGACTTCCAGTGAATCAGCGCTACTCCTGCAGATAACCTCCAAGTCATCAATGTGGTCACTACCCATCAGCGCCACCTCTACAGCCCACATTCAACTCAGGTAAGTATCTTCCATAGCCCAACCTTGAATGAACACTCTCAGCCTCAATCTCTTCCTCCTACGATGCATACACACCCTTCATTCATGAGGATCTACTCTGAATACTACTCATAGCTACATACTAATCCACTACTACTAATGCTAACTTGCTGGGCAGCTATGGCTGCATCACTTCCAGCATGCAATCCTCTTCCCTCACTCAGCGCATCTGCTTCCTCCAGTGCTGCTCCTACTGACTCAGCGCACAAGTGCTCCAGCACTTCCACGCTGAAACAGCCAGTGGAGATCTGGCGAGGAATGAGGCTGGCTGCCTCCTTTATACTCCTCGCTGGGTCTGCATTGGCTCAATCCAGCCTTCCTTTTGTCCCAGACCCTGCATTGCATGTGTCCCAGTAGAGTCCCAATGAAGTTCAACTGCTGCTGAGGCCTCCCGGCCTGAATTTGGACTTGAAAGTCTGG